TATTTATATTTATATTTATATTCATATTTATTCATATTTATATTTATATTTTTTTTTATTCATATTTATATTTTTATTCATATTTATATTTATATTTATTCATTTATATTTATAAATAAATATAAAAAATTCATATATATTTATATATACCTTGATCAAAAAGTTCCCGGAATTCATTCAGAAAATTCAAAATACAAGTTTATTCATCAAAAGTGATATTGTCCCCTTCAAAGTACTCCCCATCGACTGCAACGCACTTATGCCAGCGCTTGATCCAACTCTCGAAACATTTCTGGAACTCTATTGTCGGTATAGCCATCAGAGCCGTCTTCGATTTTTCCATTACCTCTTAGTAGTGATTTTTTGACTCGATCGAACAGAAAAAAATCGCAGGGAGTCATATTGGGTGAATTCGATGGTTGTTAGATGGTATTCGTTTCGTTCTTGGTCAAAAAATTTAATACAAACTCGTTGTCGCAAATTCAACTCCATTTTTAAAACTGTAAAAAATCGAAAACACGTGCAGAGGTAGATGTACTCAAGACGGCGTAACTTTTACAAATGTCAAGCTATGGCGATAAAATTTGGTGGAAATGTCAATGATAGATGTGGCAACCTAACGAAAAAACAGAACTCAAATCAGCTGACTCAGAGCATCACCTGGTGGTAATTCCGGGAACTTTTTGATCAAGATATATATTTATATTTATATATTTACATTTATTCATGTTTATTCATATACATTTTATGTACGTTTCAAACCTAAACATTAGTTGTAAAACATTAGATACGTTTAGAAAACGTATATAAAACCAACATGTTCTACTGAGGTATGATCAAAATAAAAGTAGAGCCATATAAAGTAAAGAAATGAATATATGTGAGTCGTTAGAATTAAGCCAAAACAAAGACATTTTAGTATTCTGCGAATTGGTGTGTATGTATGCGTGCGAGATTGATGTAATAATATTAATTATTTTACGTTTATATTTACACATATTACTTATTTCAATTCACTTACTATATACTCTGCATCTATATCGGGTTCATCAACAAAGTTATTATGTTCTTCTTGTTCATTATCATTAATTCTTCATAATTAACATTTTCTTCAATATCATCATCATTAAAATTATTGGTATCATCGCTGCTTGAGTCAGCCTGTAAAATTATTGTACATAAGATTATAAATATTTAATTCGATTTAATTATTTTGTTCGTTTTAAAACATTCATAACATACATTTGAATTAATAGCATTATTTTCTCCTTGCATTAATTCATATTCCATAATTTTATCCGCGTCCTCATATAATGGTCATCACAATTTCATCACCATGAATTTGTTCCTGTGTATGAAAATAAAATATATTAAATACATTAATTGAACTATTTTACTATGTATAAATTTTGCTCTCAAAGGAAAGAAATAATATTAATATTATTTTTATTAGGATAAATGTTCAGAGTATACAGGGTGTCTCAAAAAAACGGATCGAAACACAATGGGGACGTAGATTGGATCAAGGGGAACAAAACAGTTTTGTACTATTTTGCAGTTGACGCAATATTTAACGAGATATTAACGTTTAAAGATAGGCGAATACAAGCGTCCGACCAGCCTACTGCTCAAGCGCTATCCTTCTCCTCCCCATGCGCGCCGTTCTGAGTGGCTCGCTTGCTAGGCCATCCCCGCACCTCGCGGCCCGCCCGCGCCGCCCGGCCAGCGCGTCATGCGATCGGTGGGGATGGTAGGCCGTCCTGCCGGCAGCAGTACATGAGCAGTAGGCTGGTCGAACGCTTGTATTCGCCTATCTTTAAACGTTAATATCTCGTTAAATATTGTGTCAACTGCAAAATGGTACAAAACTGTTTTGTTCCCCTTGATCCAATCTACGTCCCCATTGTGTTTCGATCCGTTTTTTTGAGACACCCTGTATATACAGGCTGTTTCTTAAATATCGCCTACTAATCATATAGTGTTATTCCTGATAAAAAATTGAGTCGATAAGTATTAGGAAATTTTTTTTCTACAGTGCTTACTGAAGCAGTTATTATCAAGTAAAGATAATCCAATCGACGCCGTGCTTTAAACGGACGCACGTCTATAAGCTGCGCGTCTAGTAGTATGCGTGAACGCTTCTCCGCGCCGCTATGTTGCTGACTTCGCCGTTATCGCGCAATGTCCTCGTATGTCGTAGTAAAGCGAAAAATTACGATTTTTATCAATGAATAAATATTATGTCGCGACAATATAATTATACAAATTAAATACATAATAATAATTATACAAATTAAAATTACATCATAACAGACATTTGTAATTATTGTTATGTTACGGAATAATTTTAATTCCGGATAAAGATGTTTTAATTTCTCAAAGACCGCTAATAACGACGTGCATGAGCCACTATTTTGTAACAACATAAAAAATAATCTAAGACTAATACTGAAGAGCTTAAATTTCTAGCTGTCGACTTATTATAAGTTTATTTTTATTGACATAAAAGATATGTTTTCTAACGTAAAATTCTTAAAACACAATTGTCTAAAAATAATTACGATTCTTGTTAATGAATTAAAGATATGTCGGAACATAATTTTAATTCCGGATAAAGGAATTTAAATTTTATAGTATTGTTACAATCCTGAATAATAAAATGCAAGCTATTTTGGTTTTTAATAGGATAAAACAATATTCTTAAACTAATATTAAAGAACTGAAATCCTTAACTGCTGCGTTAAAACATAGTAATTGAATTGATTAGAAATTAAAATTATGTCAACACATAATAGAAATTATTTTTATGTCAGTTTAAACGCAATTTTAATTAACTAAATTATTATTATGTATGAGACGTAATAAAAATTTAAAATTATCATATTATGTCATGACATAATTTTAATTCATAGAATTTTTGCTATGTCTTGACATAATTAAAATTCGTCGAATTATTATTATGTAACAAGTCAGCAGCTATAAATTTAAATTCTTCTCTCGATAATAACTGCTTCAGTAAACACTGTAGAAAAAAATTTTCTAATTCTTATCGACTCAATTTTTTATCAGGAATAGCACTATACATAGTTAGTGGGCGATATTTAAGAAACACCCTGTATAACGACCCAGACGGCAGAGAATATTTATGATTTTCTTATAGCTTTGTGTAGAATATATCCTGAGAAGGAAATTTTCACATCTTAGACGTGAAAATTTCATGCACGCAGGCATGAGAATAGTTATCATTAAATTATCATTTTTTATTTTACCGACATCAAAAAAACTTTAAAATAAAAAAAATAAAGAATGATAATTTAATGATAACTTATGCCTGCGCGCATGCTCATTGATGTTGCAAAAAATTCATGAATTAATGAAAACTATTCTCTGCTATAATTTAAATTGTATAAAAAGATTTGTTTTTAATATAACAGAAAATATGCAGTATTTATATTTAGGACTTTATTAATTTGAAGAGCGTATAACTTCATATTTAGGTTATAAAATATTTTAACCATATTTTTAACCATATTTTCTTTCTTATAATATTTAAAATATATTCTACGCGTGAAAATATACAAATTTATAAAATTATAGGAATGTCGGAAGAAGAGATATTATATATATTAAACATTTACTTTTTATTCAAAATATGTATACATACATCATATAATTTTTGATCCATCGTTAATCGTCTTCGCAATTCGCGAGAATGTAGAGTCGTTACAGGGATCGGAATAGAGCCATCTTATAGGTACAATTTATATGGTCTTCGCTTCATTTTTTAACTCCATATATGCAGTTTTTTATACTTTTGACTTTTACGAACGAAACGAATCGATCAATCCAGAAATGACCAATCGATGATCGTTATCTAGCGACTATCAACGATCACGGCACTGCATTGAATTTATTGCATACGTTCATTGTATATATTCTCAGTCATACGCGTGCGACATATATCGAATCCGTTTCTTTTATTATATAATATTGTAGTGTTTTATACCAGTGTTCTATAAGCTCTAAAATTATGGAAAATGGTAAGTGTATACTTGTGGAATTCATCAAGGAAAGTAATTCACTTGCGGTCGGGTATCGTACGTGGTTGCTAAATGATGATTACAAAAACAATGACGACGAAATCCAGAAAATCTTTTTTTATAAAATCTAGAGAGAGAGAGAGGCTACGTTCCGTTCGAATCATGCGCCACTATGCGACATCTACGAGCTATGGTATGCGCCGCGCGAATTAAGCGTAGCGCCACGCAGAGCCCGCACATAACCTGCAATCATAATAATAACAAACGCGTCGCGACGGACTTTTGTTATCAAATATTGCGGAGTCATAATATCTCTGTCCACGATTTCGCGCAGTACGCGCAGCTGTTGTGATGTCGAAGACGTGAGTCTAACGGAAACAGTTTCGACAGGATGGGTGACATAAGGGCTGGCCTCGAGGACTTAAAGCTCGACAGTGCTCTGTTCGCCAATGTGAAATACTACGTCAGCGGTGCGGGCGAACCGAAGGTACGTTATGTTATAATTTCTGTTCATTTCCCGCGTTTTTGTCCCGCCGATGCTCCAATACCCGACGAATGGAACAGCCGTGAGATTCGCTGCTATCGCAGCTGACTGCGCGATCTTTGTGAAAGCTATGATGTTCTTTTTTCCGTTATGAAACTGATGTTCTTCGATTGTCAAGGAAGGTTATAATTTGGAACACCATTTCACATAAATGTCGTTGGACTAATTCTCTTTTCTATATCTTATTTCTTAATATTTGGAATGACAATAGTATTGAAATATTTCAGATTTATACATGCCTGATTATTAGAAAATGTTATTGTTTGTTAATCATAGGCAATACTTTTACAGATTTTGAATTTATTGCAAGAAGGTGGGGCTGAGAGGTCTAATTATTTTAGTGATTATGTTACACATCTGATAGCAGGCAATGAAGCATTAGAAAATGACATTTCTGCAGCAAAGGATCTATATGAGATACCAGCAGTCACACAAAATTGGATTTTATATTCTGTTAAATGCAACAAGCTTTTGCCGTATCCTTTTGCAAAAGACTTACTTTAATATTAATATTTGTTACAAATACTTGTTATAAATAAAAACATATTTTAAAGATAAAAATTGAACAATTTTTAATAAATTCTTAGAAAAATAATGTAACAAATATATGAACAGCTTAAATGTTAAGTTTACATTTACAGAACACTTTGAATTAGATCATTAAACATATCGTTAAATGTAGGGCATGATTTATATTTTCTTAACAACTTTATTTAAATAGAACGCAATATTTCTCACCAGAAGAGAATCAGTTGTTTTCGAACATAAATGTCTGCCTATCCCAGATAAGTCGAGCAGACAGCAAGTCTCTATGGGCAATGATAACACTGCAAGGCGGCAAATGTCAGCTACGCTTGGATAAATATTGCACTCATCTGATTACGGGCAAAGCAAGTGGTATAAAGTATGAAACTGCTACGAGACATCATATATCAATTGTAACGCCTGATTGGATAACGGAATGTTGTAAGAAAGGTACTCTCGTTAGCGAAGTGGAATATCATCCTAGACTGCTAGTGTCTCCAAATAGCTCGACAGCGATGATTACTGGATTCATGGACGAAGATACGGATAATAATGTTGCACAAGAGGAACAAGATAGGACGAAGGCCATGTTGGAACAACTCAAGCAACGCATGCCATGGAATCAGCCAAGTCCACCAGTGTCTTCAAGTGCTTCGCATAGCCTTGGTGCAACCAGTACAGTTCCTTATTCGACAAACGGACAAAATACCGTGAATGTGCAGCCACAACAGCATCTTCCACGATCAGTTTCCTCGACCAGTTTGAGTACTTCCACTGTTACTTCATCAGTCTCTGACCAGGATGTTATTAATCAAACAAATTGGCTTTCTCAGACATCTCAGCAAAATAATATTTCTCAGCAAATAAAAGCTGTACCGTCACAAATGCAGCAGCAAGAACTGTCTCCGCAACAACAGCAAATGAATATGCAACATCAATTGATACAGCAACAACAATTAACATCGCAACAGCAATTAACGCAGCAACAACTCACACAACATCAACAACAGTTGCAGCAACCATCATACAACCAACAACAACTTTTGACTCAGCAGCAGTCGCCTCAGTTACAGCAACAACAATTAGTAGGGCAACAGCAATCGATAATGTCTCAACAACAGCAACAACCAATAAATTCGCAATTATCTCAGCACCAGCTAAATACGCAGCCACAGCAATTATTGACATCGCAACAAAAGCAATTAAATCAACATCAAATTATTCAACAACAACAATTACAGACTCAGCAGCCACATTTGACACAACAGCAGCAGCAAGTGCAATTAGCAACTCAACAACAGCAGCAACAACAACAAATAGTGATGCAACAGCAGCAGCAATTACCTTCTCAACAGCAACAAATAGCAGGTCAACATCAATTGACTCAACAACAGACTCCATCGCAGCAACTTACTTCTGAGCAAAGGCAACTTCTTTTGCTGCAACAGCAGCAGCAGCAACAGAAGATACAACAGATTTCACAACAATTGCAGCAATCTGCTCCTCAGAACTCCCAACAATTTATTATAAGGGACGGTCAACTACAACAACAGTCACAGAATCAGCAGTTAATTGGACCAAATCAGCAAGGGTTTATCGTTCAACGGGATTCACAGTGGCAACAACAGCAATATCATTTACAGCTGCAAAGACAACAGCAACAACAACAGATTGGTGCTCAAAGGTCTGGAGGACAATGGAATCAACAACCGCCTCAACCTCCCAGACAATTAATTCATTTGGACGCGCAAACACATCAGCAATTGCAGCAGATGGATCCCCAACAGAGGGCTCAATTCATCCAGAAGATTCAAAAGCATCGAAGCAGCCTAATATTACAAAGGCAGATGCAGAATCGTCAGGCGCAGCAAGGCTCACACATCGCTGTTATAAGAAGTCCTGGTAAACCAGTACAGCCAGGCAGTTTACAGTGGGTTCAGCAAGCTCGACCGCAAATGATGGGACCGCAACTCACGCAAACTCCAGGACAGAAACCTGTTCATCCTGGAGTACAGCCACCAGCATTAACTCCGATAAACTCTTCTAATCAAGTCATCGTATCAGCCGGTCAGGCCGTTCAAGGCCCGCAGGCGTCACAAACAGGTCAACCATTCCAACAAGGGCAGCTCACTCCTCAACAATTAGCACAACTACAGTTACAGAAGCAGCAACAAATGGTTAGATTACAGCAGTTGCAGCATTTACAACAACAGCAACAACAAGGCGCGCAGCAAGAACCACCGTTAGCGTCTCTGCCGAGTAACGCGCAGATACCACCGGATCAGCAGCTTGTCGTGAATGCTAAAACAAAAACTGCGCTGGCAAATATGCTGACTAATAGATTGCAAGGTGGTGCCGCCGAGGGTAGTGCAGCTGGTCAATTGAGATTAATGACTGCGCAGCACCGACCTCCACCCCCACCTTCACAGGATCCGCAGCTTCTAGCCGCTTATCAAAGAAGAACTCTGGGGAATATAACAAATGGCGCACCATCAGGTGCACCTATAAAAATGCAATATGCTCCAGTTGTGCCACAACCTAAGGCTCAGTTTTATGGTCACAATCCAAATTTGAAATGTACGTTTTTATTTTTTGTTATTTTATTGCTCTATTAACATTATTATTATGGATAAATAACATTTTTTATACAATACTAGAGTAATATAATGATTTAACAAGCTATTTTATTCTTTGATAAAATACATCTGACATCGTTATATTGTAATCAATAACAAAAATATGTATATTTTCAGTGCCCCTAGAGGTATTCTTGTTAGGATGTATCTTTGTCATTGTTGAATATGACGTGCAACATCTTAATGAAGTATCAGTCTGGAAACAAGTTATTGAGAGGCATGGTGGCGAAGTAGAGTCACAATATTGTACTCGAACAACGCATGTACTTGCCATCACGCAGAAACATCCGACTGTAGTGCAAGCATTGCGCGAAGGAAAACGTTGCGTCAGTGCATATTGGCTTTCTGATGTTGTCAGCAAGCAACAATTAATCCCACCTTGGCATGTTCTTCATTTTCCGACGCCATTTAGTTTAACTGAACTTCCATGTGGCAAGCAAATCATATCATTTTCTGGCTTCGAGGGAGAGGAACGAGCAAAAGTCAAGTACATGTTAGAAGCTTTGGGTGCAAAGTATACGAATTACTTTTCCAGACATAATACTCTTCTTGTTTGTAGAAGGTACTGATCTTGTGTTTTTTCCAATTATAATTTAAGTAATAAATATTTATCAAAATTGTTCATATTACATGCGTAACCGTTCTATTAATTGATAGTTCAACTTTCATTCTTTTATAATATTTTATATTTCTTATACTAATTAACTTAATATTCTTATAAATAAGAACAACTTAATATTAATTAATTTAATATTAATAACTAAATAACTTAATATTCTTACAATAATTATATTTTGAAATAAACTTTTTAGACCAGATGGACTGAAATATAAAAAGGCACGTGAGTGGCAAACTAGTGTTGTAAATGTACAATGGTTGACAGATTTACTATGCGGGCAGATGAATGCTTTGCATCAAATTGAGGGTCCAAAGTATCAACAGTTTAGTCTGAGTAATCCTTTCAGACTAGATTATTCACTAGTGCCTCATCTTATGGGTATAACATTTACTTATTACGTGACAAATGACAAGAAATTTGAAGAATTTGGCCACAAAGTTTTGTGTTCATTAATAACGTACATCTAAAAAAAACACTCTGAAGTGTTAGTTATATCTTAAATATTAAAAATATAATAATTAACACTTAAAATAATCACTCTTATTTTTTATACAAGTTTTAAGGTACTTCGAGAATCCATGATGATCTTTCCATAGAAAAATTCTCAGGCAGTCCAACAGAATGGTCCTCAGTTCAATCAGTGAAAATCTTTGATATTTAATAAGATGTAACTAACACTTTTTAAAATTTTTCTTTAAATATATATTACCACACCCAAGTAGAAAATTGGTGTTATTTATTGTTATTTTGACATTAAAATGATGTTAATGTCATTTTAATGCCAAAATAGTGATAAATAACGTCAGTTTGCTACATGGATAATAATTTGATAAACACACAAAATTTTGGTCAAACTTTTTTGTCATCCTATAAATATTTATAAAAATTTATATATTTGAATCTGTTGTTATATATGATACTATCACATTTTTTATTTAATTCTAGCTGCTTGGAAAATGCCAATAAATATTACACAAGAATCATATGACAAAGTACAACAGGTTGGTCAGGGTCCAAATTCGATAAGAAAATACAAGAAACCACGTCTGGATGACCCATTATTGAATAAAGATCCACATCTTCTGGGTTTAGATGAACCGATTGTCATTAGCAATCCTGATCCTCCACCACCCGATAAACAACCAAAAATACTATTTTCTGGTATAAATCCTAAAAATCATGCCAAGGTAATAGATACCATTTACTTGGCTTTTCAGAATATCTGAAATTGTAAAAGAACAATCGTTTTTTAATTAATAAATTAATTTTTTATTTCTTATTAACTTGTTTTTTCATGTATTGCTACTAAACTTACATTACTATTTCTATATTGCCTCGCTCTCTTCATCCTTTTGCATTGTCATCGCCAATTGTCATTGCCATGTCAAAAAATCTTTCATATTCTATTAATTCTCTTTGTCCTCTTTTTTTGCATTTATTCAGTTTTTATCCATATTTTTCCAATATTTGCTGTCGCACATATACACATGCCAAGAAGTATTAACTTTATATTTTGTTCATAATTACAAAAATTCATTAATTGTAATATTATTACTATGTTTTGCTGTTGCAATTTTCTGAATAGATTTTACGTAATTTCTAGAGAATTCGAGAACTGGGAGGAGCTTTAGCTGCCAGCTGGCGAGATGCTACTCATCTTGTAATGTCAGCACCATTACGAACAGTAAAATTATTGTGTTGTTTATCACGTTGTAAATATATCGTCAATCTTCAATGGTTACTCGATTGCTCCGCAAAAAATACCTTTGTGGATGAAAGCGCGTATATGCTTGGTGATCCCGAATTTGAGAAAAACTTTAATTGCAATATCGAAAAAACTTTAGCAAGCCCCAATCGAGGGACTGTACTTAAGGTAATGGGATCAAATTTTATAAACGTACAATTCGATTTTTAGTTGTATAATAAACAGTGTGGACATTTTAAATAATTGGAAGGACAATTTTTTAAAATACGTTTTCACTTTTTCACTTAAACAGGGTAAAATATTTTATGTCACGCCAAGTGTGATACCATCCCCCTCGGCAATCGCGGAAATAATAGAAAGTGCAGGAGGTATAATGGAAAAGACACGTAGACCAATTGTTCAAATACAAGAAATGAATGCTGGAAAATTAAATTATATTATTGTGACCCATGACAATGACCTCCATCTCCTTTCTGATGTTTTACGTGCAAATATTGGTAAGTAGTCTCAAATTAGTTTTTAATGTTTTATTCTCTTGTTTTTTATGTAAGAAAATTGATTATAAAGAAAGTGGAATTATAAAGAGAGTGGAAATTAAACGGAGATGAGGAGATATATTATATATACATATATCTATATATAGGGTGTCCCATTTTAATGTCCCACTCCAAATAACTTTTTTATTTTTAACAATAATAAGATTTTTTATTTTTGATTTTTATTTTTTATTTTTGATCTTAGAAAAAAATGTTTCAAACCAAAGTTGTATGGTTTTGAGGGGGGTATAAAGTGGTGTCATTAGTTTGACCTTGAATAGTTGCTTCTCACGTGACCTTCAAGCACGTGACTATTCAAGACCAAATTAATGACACCACCTTACGTCCCCCTCAAAGCCATACAACTTTGGCCTGAAATATTTTTTTCTAAGATCAAAAATAAAAAAGTTATTTGGGATGGGACATTAAAATGGGACTCCCTGCGTGCGTGCGTGTGCATGCGTGTGTACACACACATACACACACACACACACACACACAGAGGATGTCTCTTAAGTAAGGTTGGGGCCGCATTGGGGGCATAGAATCAGGGCGTAGGATCAAGGGGAACAAAAAAAAGTTATACCATTTTGAGATATCCGCTGTAGTTTTCGAATTAAAAAAGGAAAACACGTCTAGCCAGATACGCCAGATACGCAAATGACGGCCCGCGATGTCCAAGCTTAAAGCCGCAAAAAAAAAAACGAAAAAGAAAGGGATTCGATTTTGTCTCACCTACCTACACGTGGTGATTCCTGGATAATTCAAAGAAAACAAAAAATATAAATTCTAAATTTTACTGGTGTGGCCCATGGTATAACTTCAAATTTTATATTTGGTCCGTCAAAAAATTTAATTGCGTTTCCTCGGTCTAAGCCAATGTGCGGTGACGCCGTGTCATGCGAATTCGTAGTACGGCGCCTCATTCCACAACGACGGCGCACAAGGGGGATAGGACCGCCAAGCGGCAAAGCGCTATCCTTCTCCTCGCCCCCACCTCTTTCGAGTGAGGCGCGATGGGCCGTGCTATGAATTCGCAGGACGGTGCTTCACCGCACATTGATTAAAGCCCGATCTACATAAGACGCAGAATGCGGTTCGCAGGTCGCAAAACTAGGAACTAACCTAACGTATTTTAATCATAGTATGTTTGTAGGACGCAGAACGCA